TATATATATATAAATATCTCCCAAGTCTATACTTACATTATCATCCCAGGCATACTGACGAGAGAGCTTAATAAACCTCTAGGCAATTCTCAAGCCAATCAGGTAGACACAATTATATATGTGGAGACAAACGTGCATGTGGAGGTCTATAATATATTTTAATAGCACATCCATAATGCAAAGAGCTTAAAATCATCTTTAAAATAATACATATTATCTTAAACATTATGGAGATCTGTGAAGAAGAGAAAGGAGCTGCAGGGGTCCCCACTGCTTCCTTCCTATGGTTCGCTCATGTGAACGAGGGGCCACCAATTTGCTGCAAAGGAGGAGAAAGCACGCGGATGCACACCGGCTCTCTCATCCCCGGATGTGACACGCAACATTTCCACGTGCATCACTGAGAAGAAAATGTCGTGTGCCTCTTTGCAACGGCAGAGGGACAGTAATGTTTGTCTGTGGCCAGGAAGGACAGGAGAACACGTGGACAGCTACTCCTCTCCCATGAACCGCCACAGAGCGGGTACTCAGCAAAAAGCAACTGGTGTCCTTTGTTCCGGAACATCACTCCTCATCTCTCGGAGGTGCTTCGGTGAAGACCAGATTTGCCTTGCAATTCTCTGAACCCTAAGTGCTGACACAGTGACACATGCTTTTAAATCCTACATTATCCCATCTGATTCGAAGAAGATGATGTTAAAGCCAGCAGAGAGCAATCACCTTCTCTCCACAGTGGCAGTTTCCTACACTTCCCTTTGCAATGGGGATTTTTCTCCTTGTACTTGATGCAGGCCTGAACTCAACCTGTGAAGCTCTGCTCCCCTCCGCAAGACCACTCCTACCTCAGCACCTGGATGCGTACATCAGTGACTCTGAAAGCAGGTGTTTTCCTGAGAATCAGGTGCCAGAAAAGAGGCCCAGGAAAGATGACAAATTGCTTTTTCTCTTCCAACCCTAGCCGCACGTCCACGAAGGGAAATACCTCCTAGGAGGACTGCATGCTCTCTAGAAATTCAGCTTCAGGAAATATTTGCTCCTCACCTACCACTGATGAGGGAAGAGCTTTTGGTTCTGACCTCCAAAGAAGCCTATCATTCCGCTTACGTGTTGCTTCTAGCTTCAAATAGGAAGCAACCTAGAGTTCTTCACAAAGGCCGAGCAGCCGCAGAAACCTCCCTTCCACCCGCAGACTTAGAGCCTAAGAGCCAGGAGTCGGTCGGCCAAGTCAAGGACTACTCAAGGCCCAGCAGGAAAACACAGAATGAGATGGCACCCACATACGGATGCCCAGAAGTCTAAAATCACAGTCTTGTGTGAACACTGACCAAGGGCCTTGGCCAGCAGAGGAG